CCAGCCATCCTTAGTAGTAGTTTGTGGATTAATTTGTTAATTTAACAAATTTCTAAGGCTAAAAATAGCCCTCTTGTACTGAGTGCTATGGGCTTGTCCCAAATATTGACAAATTTATCACCTGATTTATTTTACCTCCTCCCTTTTCACACAGAAATTAACATTAAAAAAGAAAAAAGGCTGGTCCGCAGCCAAGCACTGGTTTGGGCACTCTGTGGCCTGTTCATCTCTCAAGCCCCAAGTGAAGTGCCCCTTCCTCAGGAAGGCCTCCACTGGACTAGGCAAGGCTAGGTGCTCCTGTGCCCGAATGCTCCACTTCTTCCTCCGACTTCCCACAACTGGAACTGAGTCAAGTATTTGGGAGCTATCTCTGTGCTCACGGCCTATCTCCCCTCTGGGCTGCAGGCTCCATGAACACAGGCACGTCGTCCTGTCCTCGGCTGTATTCTCCAGGCTCTGCAGAGCAGGCCTTCACAATCAGGAAGGAACAGCTGGGCTCACCTAATCCCCTAGGTTACTCCTCTTTAACAAACAGAAAATCCCTATCAGAGAGGGTCCCACCCACCTCAGAGAGGACGAGGGAACTCCCCAGTCCATGTAAGCGCTTCCCACTCCACCACACTAACCTGCCTCGCACACAGAAACACGTGAATAAGTCAACTTCCTATACTTCTACGCTGCAGTAAGTATGCTGCGAAACAAGCGTGGTTACGGAAGTTACTGCGGGTTGAGAGAATTTTCTACTCATTCTGTTCAAGTGCGTGGGCTGCATTCTTTCGGATGGGTAGGTGGTAGGAGGAACTGCAGAACAAATAAGGTGATTTAGGTTCTTCTTTGGAAGGGCATCCTACTAGCAAAGTAGAGAAACACAAAGCTAAGTGATTACTAAAGACTTCAACTTTCCTTAGATTTATGGGCAACAGCCAGATTCATTTACTGTAATAAACCACTTAGCCTCAGAAAAAGAATTTGACTAAGACCTTATAGAAGTAAAGGACATAAAATGTGGCATAAATGACGTGAGCTTAATAGACAGGCACAGTTAGGGTATCTCACCATTTTAAGCTCCAAATGTAACATATGCATTGGTGGTGGTGGGGTATCCCTTTACTAGCCCAGATTTCACAGATTCCACAACCAAGAAGAACTCGTTTAGATGATTAAGAAAACATGTACACACCTATAGTTTTTCATTTAACTTGTATTGGTCCAGACTAAAGGTAACTAATTTAGATGCATAAACATGAATTTTCATCCAGATTTTTCTAAATATTTTATTGGAAACTCAGCATGGATCTAAATTGGAACAGGGATCTACCCCCTGAATTTACAGAGGCTTTGCAGCCTAACAGAGGCAGGAGACACCAGCTCTAGCTGCAGCCCCATCACTCCCTTGCAATGTGACCTTGAGCGTCTCCTCTCTCAGCTGGTTCCCTTGACTGCAAAACGAAGAGACAGCACTGTCCTGCCAGCTCTAACATGATCCATACTGTAACCGACGCAGGGCACCAACTGCCTGCTTGATGTAACTTCAGAAGAACTAGACATTAAACTAACCAAAAAGCAACTGCATAAGGCAGCCAAGTTAGTCTGTAGTAAGGGAAATTATCTAGCATGAGTTCATTACTTGAATCATTCCCAATCTGTCAGAAACAGAAATATGGTGGAATTAAATTTAACACTTAGCTTCCTTACAATCAGTAAATAAGAAGATACTCTCTAAAAAAGGCGGGGAAAGAGAGGTACCAGGCATCTTTTAACTCAGATCCTTTATTCTTGGATCCATTCCCACTCTCCACCTGTGTCCCTTCCTAAACCACATGCTCTTAAAATCAAGTTGGAGCATTTAATGGCGTTTTCAGGAAAGAAACCATTTGGAAATGAGGGGAGTGAGGAGACCTGAAAACAGCTGTGGCTAACAGTCCACATCTCTGTCTTGATCAGGTGGGCAAGGTATACATTCCTTGCAGGCTGTTTGTCACCACACGTCAGCCATTAGTGAGCTCTGACTTCTCAGAGATTCTAGAAAGCTTTGCACAACTCTTACGATTCTTTCAATATTTTACTTTCTTCTATATAGTCATTGACATTTCTTCGGTAAACTGGAAGCTTTGTACAAAGCTGGAGCTTTTGAGACGCTTGAAATGATCAAGCACTATCACACAGAACTCTGTATGCTGCTTTCAACTTCATTTTGTTGATGAAGCAAAAAGCAAGCATTCCATGCACAAGGCATTGAGCCATAGATGGACACAGCCATGGCCTTTGCCCTCACAGCCCGAAGGGCAAAAGCACCAGTGTAAGAAAGATACCAGTTTAATTAAGCGACATTAATCATTTGTCTTGCTGCCAAAACAAAAAGCCTCTAGAAAGTTCAGAGGGATGGCTCACTGGCCTAATTCATTCTGCCCAAACAGAACAGAACAAAAGCAGTGAACTTATCTGCACTTTTCGAGTCCCATGGCTCTGAAACTGCAATTTAACCTGTCCTTCTAAACTGGTTTTCCCTGTGAGCAGCAAGCGCAGGCAGGCTGGAGCCAATACAGCATGATGTCTTCACATGTCCAGTTATAAGATGCTCACTCCATAGCTGAAGAACGGGAGACAAGAACATCCCCCACCACAGAAAACTCAAGGCCTATCCAACAGGTCACCTGCTCTGGGGCAAGTTTTAAAAGCTATTTGTGGAGCAGGTGCTAGGATAGCACTGAGAAGCATGTCAGGGCTTTCTCACACCTACCACCCTTCCTGACGGTTTTAAACCCTTTTCAGCTTTCTGCACTTGACTGTGAACGTCTACACATCTATGACTCAGAAGCCAGGCTGCCTAATTGGGTACTTCCCCCACTTCTCTTATGTCTACGGGGAAGTATCAACTACTTGCAAAGACGTTTTCCCATCAATTACTAGAGAGTGGGGAAAGTGAAATTAATTAAGCCACACAAAAATTCTCCCACAACTGGTTCTCATTTGTGAAATATTTATGCAGAATTTATAAGCTATGAAGCCAGAAATGACTTGTTTCAACAGATCTGACTTTGCCAAACTGTGTGGGTGCAGCGCTCCAAGGGGAATTACTCAGATTTTAAAACTCAGATTCACAGCAAAAATGATCTAATTTTTCACTCTTTACACTAATATTCTCAAAAATCAAAACCCATACACTTTTCTCTAATATGTTCTCAAAAACACACCCGCTTGTTTTAACAAGTTTGATGTAAGATTAATGCACTACAGTTCAGCACTATCAGGGGCTTCAACTGCAAGAACACTATTGCAAGAGTCAAGGTTGAGAATGCACACGTCCAAGAAACTTACACGGGCGTTCAATTGGCGAAACGAGTACTACAAAGACACACCTTCCCAAGTTTTCAGTTTTTCATGCTTTTCTTAGAAATCAGGAAACCTTTACACCTACTGCTTTAAACCAACTGTCAAGTCGACCAAAAGGATGAATAAGGACAGAACCACTTGGCTGCAATATAGCTAGCTACTCAGGAAGGTTTAACTTGACGCTAATCCGTGCCAGGAAAACTCCAGGCTCTGGCGCAGGTATAATGGAGAACAGGGCGGGAAAATGGTGGGATTTTCAACCGGGAGACAAATGCAAAGCCTGTGGGCACAAGGACGAGCATCTACGAGGGAGAAATAGGTGAACACCGCGGTCAAGGGCAACAATGACTGGCTGGAGAGCGGAGAGAGAAGCTCAGAGGGAAATTTTAGATGCGAAGCCGCGCTCCACGGCGAGCGGCCGGGACCCCGCGTTTCTAAGATCTGCGGAGAAGCGGGCACCCAACGGCTCCGTCTTAGGTTTCCGCGGGTCACAAAAGGATAACGGACACCCTGCCAACGGTGGACCCGGGGCTCCGCGCGCCGCTTCCGCCGCCCCGCCCCGCGCGCGGCCC